TTTACAACTGCAATATGTACAATAGGAAGTTCCTATTTATACTCTTTAAGATTTTACTTATTTATAAGGAAAAGAAAGGGGGCCAGTGCAGTAGTTGATGGGTTACAGGGCCTCCTACAGGGTTCACATCCCATATGGGTGCCAACTGGAATCCGGACTGCTTCAGGCTGCTTCACTTCCAATCCAGCTCCCTGCAAGTGCATCTGGGAGAACAGCAGAGGCCCAGGGCTTGGGTCCCTGGCACCCACATGAAGACCCAGAAGACGTTCCTGGCTCCTGGTTTGGCCTGGCCTCTCTGTGACTCTGCTTTTCAAATAGTTTTTAAGATTTACTTAATCAGATATACAGAGGAGAGACAGAGAGGAAGATCCTCTTTCTGATGATTCACTCTCCAAAAGGCCACAATGGCTGGAGACAAGCCAATCCAGGAACCAGGAGCTTCTTCTGGGTCTCCCACACGGGTGCAGGGGTCCAAGGCCATAGGCCGTCCTCGACTGCTTTCCCAGGCCACAAGCAGGGAGCTGGATGGGAAGCGGGGCTGCCAGGATTAGAACCAGTGTCCATATAGGATCCTGGCATGTTCAAGGTGAGGACATCAGCCACTAAGCTACTGCTCCGGGCCTCAAATAAATGTTTTCAAAAGAAAGAAAGAGAGGACGAGAGAATTACATATTTTCCATTTGTTGGTTCATGCCCACATGGCCACAACGGCTGGTCAAGGCTATAGTCATGAGACCTTAGCTTCCCCCGGTTCTCCCACTTCGGTGTCAGGGTCTCAAGCTCTTTCCCAAGCTCATTAGCAGGGAGCTCAACTAGAAACAGATAAGCCAGGATTTGAATCAGCACTTCCATCCACCATGCCAGTGTTGCAAGACAGCTCCCTAGCCTACTGTAACATCATACCAGCCCTTCTATTTATACTTATACCCAAATTTTCAAACTCTACCTCTGGGGCCAGTGTTGCAGTACAGTAACTAAAGCCACAGCTTGCCAACACCAGCAGCCCAAATGGACCCCAGTTCAAGTTCTAGGTACTCCAGATCAAGTTCCCTGCTCAGTGGTCTAGCAAAGAGCAGCAGAAGATGGCCCCTGTCACTCAAGTTGGTGACCCCGATGAAGCTCTTGGCCCCTGGCTTCAACCTGACAGACACCTGGCCCAGCCCTGTCCACTGCAGAGAAATGGAACCAGGAAAGACAAGATCTCTGTCTCTTTCATTCCCTCTCCGTATCTCTGACTTCCCAAAAAAATCATCTTAACCAAACAATGCCTGTTTCATGTGTCAGAATGCCTGGGTTTGATAGCCAGCTCCTGGTCCTGAATCCACGGGTAGTCAGTGGTGATGGCTCAGGTAACTGAGCTCCTGCCACCCATCTGGGACACCTGGGACATCTGGAGGGTGAACAAGTGGGCATCCTCTTGCCCATTGTCTGATAAAAATTAAAATTAACAAACTCTGTCTCTAATATATTAATAGCTTCAATTCAAAATTCTTGACTTTAGGTACTGCATGCAATTTTCAAGTAATCATGGTTAATATTAAACACAGCTTACGTGACATTACAAGAAAAATTAGCTACCATTACAAAAGAAGAAAATGCTATATTAATTTTAGTTAGTTAGTAAAAATCCAAGCTCAGGGCCGAGTAGTGTGACGTAGCATGAAAAGCCACCACCTGTAACGCCAACATCCCACACAGGTGCCAGTTCTTGTCCTGGGCCCTGCACTTCCAATGCAGCTCCTTGCTAACATACCTGGGTAAAGCACTGGAGAATGGCCCAGATGTTTGGCCCCTGCACCCATACAGGAAATCCAGAGGGAAGGTCCTGCTTCCTGGCTCCCTGCTTCGGCCCGACCCAGTGCTGGGGAGTGAGTGAGCAGGTAAGACCTTCATCTCCCCCTCGGTAGCCCTTCCAAATCAATCTTTAACAACAACAACAAAATCCAAAGTGTAATGTACAAAGCATGTTTTTTGTGAAATCCAAAGACAGACATGCAAAATTCACTCTATCAAAAAGTCACAAAAAAATAAAGAAAAAAATAGCAAAAACATCATAAAGCATTATGTCTACCTTAACACAAGCCACTACACAAGCAATTGAAAAACCCTTATCTCTGCTCCACTGCACAAGCTATATTAGCTTGCGTTTCTTTGGTGGATTCTTTCCAATTCCATAAGCCAACCTACATTACATTGGTGACACATCAGTTTTACTTTAGGGTCTTCACCATGTAACTCCAGGGTCTTTTCGCCATGAATTCGAATACCAGAAAGACGCACAAGTGAAAAACCGTCTCTGCTTTCCATTTGATATCTTGATCCCAATCCCATGTTTCTAAAACTGATGCAGGACCCCTCCACTCTGCAGCACAGTTCTGGCTGCTCCACTTCAGGGTCAGCTTCCTGTGAATGCACACCGAGAGGCAGCAGCTGGCGGCCAGGCTGCTCCACTTCAGGGTCAGCTTCCTGCAAATGCACACCGAGAGGCAGCAGCTGGCGGCCCAAGCACCTGTCCTCCTGCCAGTCACTCAGACAGCCCCGAGGGAGCTGCTGGCTCCTGGCTTTGGCCTGGCCCGGCCCTGGCAGTTATGGTCCTCTGAGAAGCAAACAGGCACACGGAAGGCAACCTCTCACTCTATCACTCTCTTTGCCATTTAAGTAAATGAAAACTTTTTTTTTTTTAACAATACAAGTGATTCTATTCCTTTCAGAAGAAGCCCACTTTAAAAAAAAAAAAAAAAAGATTTACTTATTTTTACTGGAAAGGCAGATTTACAGAGGAAAGACCAGAGAGATCCTCCATCCGCTGGTTTGCAGCCTAAGATCCTCCATCTGCTGGTTTGCAGCCTAAGTGGTGGCAAAGGCCCCAGCTGAGCCGATGTGAAGCCAGGAGCTAGCAGCTTCTTCCAGTTTTCCCACATGTGCATAGAGGCCCAAGTACTTGGGCCTTCTCAAATGAACTACCAAGGAGCTGAATTACAACAGGGGCAGCAGAGACAAGCACTATAGCAGGTGGTGGCTTAACCAACAATACGCACTCTGTGGAAATTTTCAAACTTCTCAAAAGGCCACCTTTTTTCATTCACAATATGAGAGAAAATTTTAAACAATAAGGTGGTAAAAACTCTAATAAATCAACTTCTCTTCTGGTGCAGCCAGGAGCCACAGTCATACAAATGAGCTCATTACAACAAGAGGAGCGAGCTAGGGATGGGACAACACTTGGCTTCACTCTCTAGGGTAAAAATTCGAAAACACCTTCGGAAAAAGCAAGAACGGCCTTTCAAACAGTGAAAATACAAAGCAATCAAGTTAAAGCTAATTTCACCTGCTTCCAGTGATTGAAAAAGGGCAGGGAAGTCTTAAAACTCCACCTACCTTCTCTAAATTTCAGTTCATACATAAGTAGCAATAGCATTTTACATCCACATTATAAGTTGCATAATAAACAAACTCTAACTTTGTTCCCCCCACCAAAAAAACCCACCTAACCTATTACAGGTAATGCACACTTCGCACTTGTTGCCTTCCTGATTTGTCACAGCTGAGAAAGGGCTAGCAAAAAAATATGGGAGCAGGGTGAAAGCCCTGACTCATTTTCACAGTCAAGGCAAGGCAAGGTCAAGTCCACGCAGTCAGGAGCTTAGAAGGGTCCCACACCCCTGGCTGTGCCTCAGTTAACACTACCATTTTTTACTCCAAATCCCTAAACGTAACAACACGATTACTAAAAGAACACATCCGAGCCACAGAAACAGCGCATCCATAAACGTGCTGGCTTCCTCCACGTCCCAGCAAACCCCTCCACTGGCGACAGCTCCATGAGAAGGTCCGACAATGAAATGAGTAAGCAGCAAACGCCACCCTACAACTTGGAGAGACAGCCAAAGGAAGGGCCCACGGGAGAGCCCAGGGACTCCCTGGCGCTAGCAAGAATTTCTTAATTTACAGGCAAAAGTTGTCCTTTATCCGCTATGGTATTAAAAAAAATTTTTTTTTAAAAAGACCATTGTAGACACCTAAGGCACTGGGGTACGCTGGGAAACCAACGAAAAAATGCCTAGTCCTCCGCCGCGAGTTCGGGGGGTCAGCCAGGCAGGGCTCCCCCGCAGCTCTTCAGGGTCGGCCCCACGGAAGGCACCCCCAAACTTGCGCGGCTTCCACCTGCGCGAGGCGACGAGCGCACAGCAGGGTTTGTGTGCTCCGGGCAGTGCGGCTCCGGGGGTGGGGGGAGGGGGTGGAGGAAGAAGTCAAATGGCTTCCTAATCTATCATTAAACAAGAAAACACAGGGCTGGGATCCCGAAAAGTTCCAGGAACGCCAGCTGACAAAGGGAAGGCGCTCTCCTGCCTGCCGAGCCCCCTCGCCGGCCGCCGCCTCCCCTCCGCGCCCCCCGAGCCCACCCGGCCGCGGCGATTTGACAGCTCCGGAGTTTGCCGAGAGCGCGGACGGCTTTTGTAGTTTACACGAAATTCGTCCGAGGGGGAAAACACCTGGGCGTGCGTCGCTGTTTGTTTTTTAAATTAATCCTGTTAGGCCAAGACGAATCTCCCAGGCAATATCAACGCCACCCACCCACCCCGCAAAAAAAAAAAGAGAGAGAGAGAGAGAGAGAGAGAGAGAAGCCCGAAGGGGGAAAAAAAAAAAAAAAAAAAAGCAGCAGCAGCAGCGAGAAGGCCAAAGTAAAAAGTGGAGAGTGCGGGGCCGCCGCCCGGGCCGCCCCGCCCCCACCCCCGGGGCCGCGGGGCGCGGGGGGCCGCGGGCCGGGCGCCCGGTGACAGCTCGGGCCCGGCCTGGCGCCCTCCGCACTCAACTTACTTCTTTCTGGCTCTCTGGAAAGGGGAAGCGCCATCTTTGCGAGGCCGGCCCCGAGGTCTTTTGTCTGCGGCTGCGGGGCTCGGGGCCGGGACTCCGGGCTCCTCGGGGGGCGGTGGCGGCGGCTGCGGCTGCTGCACGCTCCGGTCCTCCTCCGACGACATCCTAGTCACCAGGAAAGACACATGGATCCGGGGCCTCCTCCTGGGGGGCGCCTCCCGCCGCCGCCGCAGCTGCTGCTGCTCGGGTTCCTCCTCCCCGGCTCAGCCTCTCGCATCGCCCGCAGCGCCGGCGGCGGAGGCGGCAGCGGCGGCGGCACCGGCGGCGGCGGCACCGGCAGGTACCGGGCGAGGCGGCAACATGGAGCGAGCAGGACACGCACTCACACACACATCGGCGCGGGCGCGCGCACCTCGGCGCGCAGGGGCCGGCGGGGGGCGGCGGGCGGGGCGGGCCGGCCGGGCCCGGCGGGCGGGCGGGGCGGGGCGGGGCGGCTGCGGGGCCGGGCGGGGCGCCGGCGGCTTGCGGGGCGGGGAGGCTGAGCCGGCCGCGAGGGGCTCCCCGCCCGCGCCCCTCCCCCAGGGCGCCCGCCGCGGGAGGAGGGGGGAAGGGAGGGGGCCGGCGCGGGGAGGGAGGGGGCCCGGCGGGGCGGCGCGGGGAGGGAGGGGGCCCGGCGGGGCGGCGTGGGGGTCCCGCCCCTCCCCCGCAGGCCCCGGCGGCGGCGGCGAAGTTTTGACAGCTGCTCCAGTTGTTGTTGTGGGTTCCGGGGTTGCGCGAGCGCCGGCCCCTCCGCCCCCTCCCTGCCTGGCCCTCTCTCTCTCTCTCTCTCTCTCTCTCTCTCTCTCTCTCTCTCTCTCTCTCACACTCGCTCTCCCGGGGCAGGGGAGGAGGAAGTTTTCTGCTTGTGTGTCGTGTACACCCCCACACCACACACACACACACACACACGACCGCGGCCCGCGCCAGGCCCTCGCCGGGGCTCCCCCGGGGCGACCCGCACCACAGACCTCTCCAACTCGCAGCCGTCTCGCCCGCCCCCACACACACACACACACGCACACGCACACACACGCACGGCCGCCCCGCCGGCCCCCGCCCCTTCCCCCCGCTCCCCGGCCCCTCACCCGCCCCTCGCGCGCCGCCGCTGCCACTCACGGGGCCCGCTCCGCGCACGCGCCGCTCCCCTCCGCCCGCGGACGCGCCGCCGCCGCCGCTGACCTCACCGCCCCTCCCCCCGCCCGGGGCTCCCTCCGCGCCCCTCCCCCGCCCCTCCCGCTCTGACGCGGCGGCCGGCCGAGCCCGCGGCTGCTCCGGCTCCGGCTCCGGCTCCGGCTCGGGAGAGAGGCAAGCTGTGGACAAAGAGATCCGGAATCGGGATCCGGGCGACGGAGGCCCCGGGGAAGCTGTGGAGACACACACGCACACACACACACACACCCCAAAAACGTCCCCCGAGAGCGAGCCCGGCGTGCCTCGGGGCGCCCCGGCACAGCCGCCGTCGCCCATCCGCCCTCCCTGCGAGCGTGTGGAGACCCGGGCAGAGGACGCCGCTCGCGCTGTGGAGGAAAAGCAATGGAGTTCAACTTCGTGATAGTCCAATTCCAGTTGTAGTTTCGTTATTATAACGTCATTGTAAATAGTAATCATAAACCGGGACGGCTTCATATAAAGCTGTAAGACAAAGAACCTTGACATTTTGAGGAATAAAATGCTTCACGACAGCCCAACAACTAGATTTTAATTCAGCCTGTGGTGATGAAGAGACAAAAAAAAAAAAATCCGAGTATTTCTCAGCCACCTCTTACAGGACTTTAAAAAAAAAGTGAAAGAAAAATGGGGCTAGAATAAGCCAGAAATAAATACAGGGTTTTTTTTTTTTTTCAGAAGAGCAGTTACAAATATGGGATTCCAGAAGCTTTTCTTACGCCAACAGAAAAGCCTGGCTGTGCTGTGCTCACCCTCGCTTACTATCCGCCGTTACTACGGCAGTGAGCAACGCCGAGACTTGAGGGGCGGAGGGCTGTATTAAACCACCTCCGGCAGGGGCAGGGCGAACCCTCCTTTACACGGGGCAGCCTGGTGATGCCAGCGCATTTTCGTGGGGCTCACCTACCCGCCCTACAACCGGGATGTTAACTTTGAACTGCCATTCCTATTTGGGCAACATAGACACAATCTGATTTCCTGCAGGCTCTTCTGAAAACACGGTTTTCTACAATGAGGACTCAGATAGCCACGCGAATTCCTTCGGGGTGAATTCCTGCTTTTTCAAGTTTATCAAATTCACACCCAGAAGGAAGTTTGGGACTGAGGAGCAGGCAGCTGGAATGGTAAATGCAAATTCCAACTGAAAAGAACCTACTACACATAGGAATGGGTCTAACTGAAGCTTATTCCTAAGTACAAACAAGAATACTCACCTTTCTTCATTTTATTCTGCCTGTTACACCTTAAATATATACAATTTCAGATTGGATGGCTGATCCAAAGGTTTATTGGTGTTGATTGCTGAAATTAGAATATTCCTTTGCACTAGGGGTTTCAAATAAGTATAAACTTATACACCAAGGCAGCTTACTTCAATACACTTCCTTAGCGCTTCCAGAAATCTGTCCGTGTGTCTATGCAAATTGCAAGTCACGCTGGTTGGAAATTTAAAAGAAAAGGGGGGACTCTGAGGAGAAAAGTGGGTGGGGTGAAAGGAGGCGTGGCGGCGGTGTGCAGGCAGGTTTTGGGAAAGAAGAAATATGGCACAGACCAGCAAGCCTGGCCACTATGAGCAAGGATTGGTGTGATTGCTCGTTGGTGTGAAGTTAACCTAGGCGGAAAAAATATACCCTATGATGCTGAGAAAAGATGTAAGGAATACTTCTTCCATTTGAAAGTCTTCCAGAGGTTTTTCCATCACAAAAATCACACAGCTCTGAGACCACAGTGGCAAAGATCCAGGCGATAGGTAGCTGAGAGGCCTCAAAATCATGAAATCAGACATCAGCATGTGGAAAAAGGACCAAATATAATTTTTAGGGCCTGGTGTGGTAGCCTAGCAGCTAAAGTCCTTGCCTTGCATGCCGGGATCTCATATGGGTGCCAGTTCTAATCCCAGCAGCCCTGTTTCCCATCTAGCTCACTTCTTGTGGACTGGGAAAGCAGTAGAGGACAGCCCAAAGCCTTGGACCCTGCATGCCCATGAGATACCAAGAAGAAGCTCCTGGCTTCAGATCAGCACAGCTCCAGCCATTGTGGCCTCTTGGGGAATGAATCATTGGACAGAGGATCTTCCTCGCTGTCTCTCCTCTCCTCTGTATATCTGACTTTTCAACTAAAAAAAATAATCAAAAATATATACAATTTTTGGGCCCGACGCCATGGCCTAGCGCCTAAAGTCCTCACCTTGAATGCACCAGGATACCATATGGGTGCTGGTCCTAATCCCAGCAGCCCTGCTTGCCATCCAGCTCCCTGCTTGAGGCCTGGGAAAGCAGTCAAGGATGGCCTAAAGCCTTGGAACCCTGCACCCATGTGGGAGACCTGGAAGAAGTTCCTGGTTACTGATTTCGGATTGGCACAGCACTGGCCATTGCAGTCACTTGGGGAGTGAATCATCAGGCGGAGGAGGGTCATATGTCCCAATGGTTGCATCTACAACTTAGAAAGTAATGGTGGTTATTATTATTATTATTATTATTATTATTATTATTATTATTATTGGAAAGTCAGAGTCACAGAGAAAAAGAGAGAGGCAAAGATCTTCCAACCACTGGTTTACTCCCCAAGTGGCCACAACAGCCATTGCTGAGCCTATCCAAAGCCAGGAGCCAGGAACTTCCTCCAGGACTCACGCACGGGTGTAGGGTCCCAAGGCTTTGGGCCATCCTCTACTGCTTTCTCAGACCACTGGCAGAGAATACACACAGGCACCTATGTGGGATCCTGGCCCATGCAAGGTGAGGACTTTAGTCCTAGGCTACCGTGCTGGACCCTATTATTATTATTTTTTAAAGATGTATGTTTTTTGTTTTTAAGATTTTTTTTTTATTGGAAAGGTGGATATACAGAGAGGAGGAAAGACAAAGAGGAAGATCTTCCATCCGATGGTTCACTCCCCAAGGGGCTGCCACAGCCATTGCTGAGCTAATCCAAAGCCAGGAGCCAGGAGCTTCCTCCAGGTCTCCCATCCAGGTGCAGGGTTCCAAAGCTTTGGGCTGTCTTTGACTACTTTCCCAGACCACAGGCAGGGAGCTGAATGGGAAGCAGGACTGCCAGGTTTAGAACTTGCAACCATATGGGATCTTGGCACATTCAAGGTGAGGACTTTAACCACTACGCTATCGTGCCTAGCCCAAGATATATGTATTTTCATTGGAAAGTCAGATTTACAGAAAGAAGGAGAGACACAAACATCTTCTATCATCTGGTTCACTCCCCAAATGGCCACAACAGCTATAGTTGAGCTGATTCGAAGCCAGGAGCCAGCAGCTTCTTCTGGGTTTCCCATGCCGGTGCAGGTCCTAAAGCTTTGGGCTGTCCTTTGCTGCTTTCCAGGCCACAATCAGGGAGCTGGATGGGCAGTGGAGCAGCCAAAGCACAGACTGGCACCCATATGTGATGCCAGCACTGACAAGTGGATGATTCTCCAGGTGAATCATCGTGCCAGCCCCCTAGGCACCCTATTATTCAACAGTAGCTGAATAAATTGTTGTACAATAAGTGAAATATGCATGAAAACATATTAGATGTTTAAAAAAATAATAATTTGTGCCCGGCATGAATGTGGCCTGGGAATGCAGTCGAGGATGGCCCAAAGCCTTGGGAGAACCGCGTGGGAGACCAGGAAGACGCTCCTGGCTTCGGATTGGCTCAGCTCTAGCCATTGCAGCCGCTTAGGGAGTGAATCATGGGACGGAAGATCTTCCTCTCTGTCTCTCCCCCTCTCTGTATATTCACCTTTCTAATAAAAATAAATGAATAAATAAAAGAATTCTTTTACAGGGATAATTGTTTTTAAAAAATGTATCCTTACAATGTATATGCATACTTTACGTTTCTGTATAGTTTGTGACATTTTACATTTCTGTAAGTGTGCAAATTGTCTTTGCTTCCATAAGTGACATTCATTAGAATACATGGGCGCATGGTGCAGCTGTTTAGACACCATTTGGGATCCCCACATGCCATATTAGGAATGCCTGGTTCAAGTCTAGTCCTGGCTCCTTGCGTTCTGATCCAGCTTCCTGCCCATCTACACCCTGGGAGACAGGAGTGACGGCTGAACTACCTGGGTTGCTGCCACCCACTTGGGAGAGACCCAAACTGAGCAGGAATTAGGGAGTGAAGAAACCGATGAAATGTTTCTTTCTCTTTCTTTCTCCCTGCCTTTCATATAAAATGAAAATAATCAATTTTTAAAGACAGTCACAAAAATAAAGATAGCAAAACATATTGAGGTGTACTGCAAAGAGTAGGCATCATGGGTATTTGATAAAGCCACCACTTGTGGCATCCGAAGTGTGGAGTAGGCCTTGGCTGCTCTGCTTCCAATCCAGCTCCCTACTAATGTGCCTGGAAGGCAGCAGTACCGGCCCCGCCACCACGTGGGAGACCTGGACGGAGCTGCTGGCTTTAGCCCGGCTGAGACTTGGCCTTTGAGGCTAACTGGGACTTGAGCCAGTGGATACAACATCTCTACCCTATTCCTCCTCCCTCCCCCTACTGCCTTTTAAATAAATAAACATTTAAACTAAACATTGCAAAGAAGAAGACAAAACAAAGCACAGACATTCTTTCTTAATTTTCCCTAAAACAAAAAGTACCTGGTGACTTCATAAGGAATTTTTTTAAAGGTTTATTTATTTCATTTGAAAGTCAGAACTGGGCCCGGCGCCATGGCCTAGCAGCTAAAGTAGTTGCCTTGAAAGCGCCAGAATCCCATATGGGTGCCACTTTCCACCCAGCTCCCTGCTTGTGGCCTGGGAAAGCAGTTGAGGACGGCCCAAAGCCTTGGGACCCTGCATCCGCGTTGGAGACCCGGAAGTAGATTATCTGGGTTCCCAGCTTCGAATTGGCGCAGTGCCAGCCGTTGCGGTCACTTAGGGCGTGAATCATCAGATGGAAGATCTTCCTCTCTGTCTCTCCTCCTCTCTGTATATCTGACTTTGTAATAATAATAAATAAATCTTAAAAAAGAAAGAAAGTTACAGAGAGAAAGAGAAAGATCTTCCACCGACTGGTTCCCTCCTTAAATGGCTGCAATGGCTGAGGCTGGGCCAGTCCAAAGCCGGGAGCTCCATCCAGTCCTCTGCATGGGTGGCAGGCATCCAGCAGATGTGCCATCTTCTAGTCCTTTCCCCAGGCTATTAGCAGGAAACTGGATCAGAAGTACAGTGGGCAGGACTCTAACCTGGGGCCTCAGGTAGAGGGTTAACCTATTCTGCGTTTGCACTGCCCCTGTCAGCGACTTTAACTACGTAGGCATTGCTACCTAATTTTCTTCTTATCATCCCGAGTTTAAAGGAGTGTCCCCCTCGTACTGGACAACCAGAGCTGATTTTTGCTGGCAGTCAGGGCCTGCCCATGGCTAAACATCCTCTGTGACCTCATTCCCCAGCACGGATTCCATTTGCCACTTTGTGACTTCATCAGCTAAAGATCTTGCTTGCTACCAAGTTCGGAAGCTCCAGAAGCCCAGTTCCTCTGCAGAATCAACTTGGGGGCTGGTTCTGGGCCTGAGCTCTCCTCAGGAGCCCCTTGGAGCTAAGCCAGCGTGCCTACTCCAGACTGGCTTCTTCAGACTGCTGGGTTCCTTGTTTCTGCTGACACCACTCCCCCTGTTGCCACTGCCAGAGCACCTCGGCAACCCACACACTCCCTCCCCCTCTGGTAGCCATGGACCAGAGAGCCCCACCAACCCTGGAACTGCCCCAACGCCTGGAGCTGGGCCCCAAGAAATGCTCAGGAAGTGCCCGAGAGGAAGCCCGGTACCAGCTGAGCAGCACGGCTGCAGTCCAGACCCTGGCCAGGATCATCCGGCCTTGCTACGGCCCCTGTGGCCGGCAGAAGTTCCTGGTGACCGTCAGCGGAGAGACACTGTGCACAGGCTATGCCGCAGCAATCCTCAGGGCTTTACAGCTGGAACACCCGGTGGCCCTGTTCCTCCGGGATGCAGCCCAGGCCCAGGCAGAGGGCAGTGGGGACGGCACGGCCTTCCTGGTCCTGTTGACAGAAGCCTTGCTGGAGCAGGCTGAAGACCTGCTCAAGGCTGGCCTGCCTCGCGCCCAGCTCCGGGAGGCCTACGCCACAGCCTCAGCAGAGGTCTTGGCCTCTCTGCCTTCTCTAGCCATCCGATCTCTGGGGCCCTTGGAAGATCCTTCTTGGGCCCTCTATTCTGTAATGAATACCCACACTGTGAGCCACATAGAGTTCCTGACCAAGCTGGTGGCCCATGCATGCTGGGCTAGCAAGGAGTTGGACGGCAGCTTCAAGCCCGAGCGTGTTGGGGTATGCGTCCTGCATGGAGGGGCACTGGAGGATTCCTGTCTAGTCCCGGGTCTCGCGATATCTGGGAAACCCTGTGGCCAAATGACTGTGCTGTTAACCGGGGCCAGGGTGGCTCTCTTCATTTGCCCCTTTGGTCCTGCCAGTCCTAATGCCCCAGCAACTGCCCGGCTTTCCAGTTCTGAGGACCTAGTTAACTTTAGTGACGGAAGTGAACGACTAATACAAGAGCAAGTTTCTCAGCTGGCCGCTGTCGGTATTAACGTGGTGGTGGTATGGGGAGAAATTGATGACAGGACCCTCACAACAGCTGACAAGTACGGCATCATGGTGATTCAAGCCACGTCTCGGAGGGAGATGGTTTATCTGAGCGAGGTGCTGGACACACCTTTGCAAACTCGTTTGATTCCTCCTTTGAAGCCAGGCAAGTGCCAGAAGGTTTACAGACAGGAGCTGGGAGAAGGTTTGGCTGCGGTGTTTGAATGGGACAGTCCAGGCACACCTGCCCTCACCTTGGTCCTCAGGGGGGCCACAACAGAGGGGCTCCAAGGTGCACAGCAGGCTGCCTACCATGGCATTGATGCCTACTTCCAGCTGTGCCAAGATCCCAGACTGATTCCAGGAGCCGGGGCCACGGAGATGGCTCTGGCTAAAATGCTCACAGATAAGGGAAGACACTTGGAAGGGCCAAGCGGTCCCGTATTCCTCGCATTTGCTCAGGCCCTGCGGTCTCTTCCCAAAACCCTGGCTGAGAACGCCGGCTTGGCTGTCTCAGACGTGATGGCTAAAATGAGTGGAGTTCACCAAGTTGGGAACTTCCTGATTGGAGTGGGAACTGAGGGGATAATAAATGTGGCCCAGGAAGGGATATGGGACTCCCTCATGGCCAAAGCCCAAGGACTTCGGGCAGTAGCTGAGGTGGTGCTGCAGCTCGTGACTGTAGATCAAATTGTAATGGCCAAGCACAGTCCCACGCAGCAGCGGAGCTCAGATTCTGACACGAAGACGCCAAAGGAACGCCTATCTTCTATGCAAAAAAAGAATCCTTGAAATGTACAAGGAACATCAGTCTCAATAAAAGGGGGCACACACCAAGCAGGGCAGTCTCCTCTGAAGTTCATGCTTGCCTTGCATACAACCTCCATCTCCAGGACTGTTGGTCTGTTCCTTCAGATACAACCACATGCAGAAATAGGACAGTTCCTTGACTGGCTTACTGCCTTCCAAGTTTTGACTTTTTCAATTCCTGTTCCTCTCCATTAGAGTTTGTTCCTTTCCTACAATAAGAGCAGGATTCAATTCTAACAAGATTTTTAAATTGGGTACCTGTACTTTGATGATGCACACACATACTCTCCAGCAATTGCTTTGCAACTCTTTGAGCATTTCCTGCACACTATTCAAACAGAATATGAATTTACGTCTAGGTGTCACTTTAGCATTCCGAAAACTAGCAGTTCCGGCTTACACTCATCTCAGGTGTGACTATTTGAAAAAGAAAAGAGAATATCATTTTAAGATTAAATAAATAAATAAAGGAGCTGCTGGTTGGAAGCAATCTAAGTTTTTAAAGGCTTCCTTGGCATAGGTAACAGAAAAACTCCCACTTTATGACAGTTCTGGGCCTTGGAGAGGAGAGCTGCATGGCGGGGTGGGAGCACGGAGGAGTGGGAGGGGAGGACTGCAGAGCGAGCAGGGCATCCGAGCAGGGCTTAGTAGGCTTAGCTCATGAGTGGAAATTCAAAAAATTCGTGGAAAATGAAAATCAGGAAAATTAACCATGGATTTCAATTTTTTTTTTTTTTTTTTTTTTGGTATGAAGACAAACTTACCTTAAGAAGATTTACTTTTTTTTTTTTTTTTTTTTGGCTATTTGCAAGCTAAAGTGCAGAGAGAGCAATTTCCCATCTGCTGGCTCACTCCTCAAACGACCACAGCAGCCAGTCTCAGGCCAGAGGCAGCAACCTGGAACTCCATTCGGGGGCCATCATCTACTGCCTCCCAGGAACTGGCAGGAATGCTATTGTCCCAAGCAGTGGCTTAACCGACTGAGCCAAATGCCTGCCCCAAACTCATCTATAAATTGTATTTTTGAGGCCACAGTTTTGGTACAGTGGGTTAAGCTGCTCCCTGCAAGCTGGCATTCCATATGGATGCTAGTTCCAGTTCTGGATGTTTCACTTTTAATTCAGTTCCCTGCAGTGTCTGGGAAAGCAAAGGTAGATGTCAAAATACCTGGGCCCTGCCACCCATGTGGGAGACGTGGGTAGGATTCAGGCTTCCAGCTTCAGCCTGGCTCAATCTCAGCTGTTTCAGACAATTGAGGAGTTGAACCAATGAATGAAAGGTTTTCTTTTTCCTTTCTTTTTTCTTTTCTTTCTTTTTCTTCTTTCTTCCCTCCCTCCCTTCTTTTTTTTCCTCCTTCCCTCCCTCCTTCCTTTAAAATGTATTCACTCTTTTTATTTGAAAAGCAGAGTTACACTAAGAGAAGGTGAGATAGACAGAGGTCTTCCATCCACTGGTTTACTCCGCAAAATGCCACAATAGCCACAGCTAAGCTGATCTGAAGCCAGAAGCTTCCTCCACATCTCCCATGTGGGTGCAGGCCAATAAGGCCTTGGGCCATCCTCTGCTGCTTTCTCAAGCCATAAGAAACAGGGATCTGAGTCTGGTGTGGTAACATAGTAGCTAAAGTCTTCGATTTGCATGTACTGGGATCCCATATACAAACCAGTCCATGTCACAGCTGTTCCACTTCCCATCCAGCTCCCTGCTTGTGGCCTGGGAAAGCAGTCAAGGACAGCCCAAAGCTTTGGGACCCTGCACCCACATGGGAGACCTGGAGGAAGTTCCTGGCTCCTGGCTTCAGATCGGCCATTGCGCTCACTTGGGGACTGAAACATCGGATGGAGGATCTTCTTCTTTGTCTCTCCTCTCTGTATATCTGACTTCACAATAAAAATAAATAAATCCTTTTAAAAATTGCCCTTTGAATTTTTTAAAAAAATATTTTTTTATTATTATTGGGTTTTTGTTTGAAAGGCAAGGTTACAGAGAGAGGAAGAGACAAAAAGATCTTCCATCTGCTGGTTCATGCCCCAAATGGCAACAATGGCTGGAGTTGGGCCATGCTGAAGCCAGGAGCCAGGAACTTCTTCCAGGTCTCCTACGTGGGCGCAGTGAGTCCAAGCCATTGGGCCGTTCTCTGCTGTTCTTCTAGGCCATCAGCCAGCAGCCAGGTCAGAAGTGAAACATCCTACACATGACCCAGCACCCATATGGGATACCAGGACCAAGGCTGAGGCCCTTTGGACTTTTACCATTAGTGTTTTTTTAATCACATAAAAGGTATGTTGGGGTTGGCATTGTGGCATAGCAAGTTAGGTTGCCTCCTACAGGGCTAGCATCCCAAAGTGCTGAGTCTTGGCTGTTCTATTTCCCATCCAGGTCCCTACTATTGAGTCCAGGAAAGCAGCAGAAGATGGCCCAAGGGCTTAGATGTCTCCCTGATGTGGGAGACCCAGATGCAACTCCCACCTTCCTGCTTTGGCCTGGCCTGGCCGAGGTGCACCTAGCCATTTAAGGAGTGAGCCTTAATTTAAGATCTCTCTTTAGGGCCTGGTGCAGTAGCCTAGTGGCTAAAGCAGTTGAGGATGGCCCAAAGCCTTGGGAATCTGCACCCATAAAGCTATGTTTGCTTATTTTTTCTTAAATATTTATTTTTTATTGTAAAGTCAGACTTACAGAGAGCAGGAGAGACAGAGATCTAGCATCTGCTGATTCACTCCCCAAGCGGCTGCAATGGCTGGAGTTGGGCTGGTCCTGAGCCAGGAGCCAGGAGTTTCTTCTGGATCTCCCACATGGGAACAGAGGCTCAAGGAACCTGGGCCATTGTCGGCTGTTTTTTCCAGGCCATAAGTAGGAAGCTGGATTGGATCAGAAGTGGAACAGTCAGGAACTGAACCAGTATCCATATGGGATGCCAGCACCGCAGGAAGTTTAGCTGTTTGTGCCACCATATGAGCCTCGTTTCTTTTTAATTAAAATATACATATATATATGTATTATTTACATAGTTAGCGATGAATGCCATGTGACTCTGATGAGGGTGGGGAGGACTGAGATATTAAGGGAGGTGTGTGGGACACACATTTCAGTTTTTTTCCTGTGCTGCAGGGCAGGAGGCCCTGATGTGGGGAAGAGTATTCCCAGGGCGTTACTCAAGTTGTTTTGATAGTTCTGAGATGTCATCAACTTTGTTACACCAGGGCTGAGCAAATGTTTCTGAAGTCTACAGGTTGACAGAATCCACCCCAGCACATCCACAGCCCCAGGAACAGGCTGTCAAGATTGGCCATCAGAGTGGTCCAACCTGTTCCGCTTTCCATCCCCTGAGACAGTACTCTAGGACTCCACATCCCCTGCTGGCCTGGATGAGCTGGCTGGCACGTCCCCTGCACGCACCTGGGCATTCTATCCGCTGCACAGGAGGCCCCGTCCCTACACATGCACTCCAAGGTCAGACCACGCAACCTGTGATTTTCCCTGTGGCTGGGGTCCAAGTCCAGTGCACGCAGCGGCCTGGTCAGGGCATGTTTCCCCAGTGTGCCCATATCTTACGTGAAGTGATAGGTGTTATAGCCCAGCCAGTCAGTCTGCCACAGAACACACACTGGCAAGGCGTCACAGCCTAGCTGCGGCAACCCTCCAATAACTTCTACTAGGCCTGCTTCCAGCCAAGTTTTCGCACATTCCAATTTTTGCTGCAGCCTAGTCCAGCCCAGCCTGTATCCCATCTAGCTCTCATTCACACCCGTGGGTGCTGCAGCTTAGCTCGGCCCAATCGGCCCCCAGACCCGGCTCTCACGTATGCTGGCAGGTGCAACCACTGCCTTGTCCATCCTGACCCACTCTTGTGCTTACCTTACTAGTGATAGGGACAGATTAGCAGGGGAGTTTAAAATGGATATTTGTTGCAGCCATTTGGGGAGTGAAACAGCAGAGGAAGTTTCTGTCTCTCTGTGGCACTGCCTTTCAAATCAATGAATGAATCTATCTTAAAACCAGAGCAAACTTCCTGCTGGGTGCTGCAAGCCAGTGCTGAGTGTTAAGATAGGTCCTTCCAGGCTCCCGTGTATTCAAATACTGTTAGTAATCCTAGCTAAGACCATCTCTAAGTTGTACTGCAGCCAGACAGCTTCCTGCCTCCCCACCCCTTCCCCAGGGCTCACACACTTGGTGGCTCTTTATACATGTTCTCCCCTCCCCATAAATCTCTTGCATGACAACCTTGCTGACACCTAGTCTTTTTGTTTTGTTTTGTTTTCTTTTATAAATTTATATATCTAGCTGAGCCTCCTCAGAGGCTCAGACGGAGCAGTGGACAGCATATCCAGGTGCACATGGAAGATATGACAGACCATAGGAAACTGCAGAGAATACCCAGGACCACAGAGAATGGAAGACAGAACAAACCATTCAACTACCCCAGCCATGTGTTGGCAGTGAAAATCTGGGCTAACAGAGACTCTAAAGCGAACTATGTCAGCCAGTGGATTCTAGAAACATTTCAACATGTTTGGAATGGCGAGATTGGCAACAATTCAGAACTGTTGAACTATCAAAACCACTTGAGCAGGACCCTTGGAGCATGCCCCACCCACACTGGGGACCTGGGATGGGTGGGAGGCTGGGTGGGGCTTCTCCCTTTTTCTTTCCTCTTACCACAGATACTTGAAAGAAAAATCACAATAATAACGTGGAAACAAAGGTCTTACCCACTTTCCTGTGGCCCTTGACCCTTTGTGCTCTAATCAACTATATAAAGATTGTCAAAATAAAATAGTTACCAAACAAATTATTTATGTATCTGAGTTACAGAGAGGAAGGGACTATTGTGGGATAGGCAGCTAGTTGAGCTTGGAAGACATGCCTTCCCCATCCACAGAATCTTTTCTGCCCACCTATGATGCTCACCTATCATCACCTGGAACCAGAGGAGGGTGGGATTGCATTGTTGCATCATCACACCCCTCGCAAGCCCCCATAAAGGCCCATGATAAGGCGGGGCTTTCTCTCTCTCGGTCCTGTGCTTCCATCGCTCTAACACTCTGACTCTGGGGTATGTGGAGTAGCCCCTGAGCATGGCCCTTGCATGTCTGCATCCCTCACCCTCTGTTCACTGCTTGGGCGGGACGGGAAAGATGTTATTGCTAAAAGACTTTTTATTTCTAATTTGTGTATGTTCAAAAGTTCCAGGAGAGGTGAGGCCTAGCAGTAATGGAATGTGG